GATCCCTCACCCATTCGCCCCAAGCAGCCTCTTCCGCGCGCCTTGCTGAGGCGTCAGAAACACGGCTCTGTTTAATTGACCCCACGCTCCGTCTGCAGCCTCACGAGATCTGCCCGGTCGAGTCTTTCGTCCCACTTGCGTCTCTTTTCCACCCGCCGACGCTCCTCAATTTCCCTTTTCGACACACGAAAGCCGTGGCGACGACGCTCCTCCATCGTCGGTAACGGAACTCTAGCTCAGACCTTTTTGTTTTTCAAAAAAAAAAGCAGGAAAAGAAAATAATAATAAAAAGGCGCAAGAGCAGAAGCACGTCAAGGAATTGTAGGATGCATGTCTCGCATCATGAACTAAGAGGCGCACACAAACTAGCAAGAACCAAAAAACCATGAACTAAGGCGCGCACAAACTAACAACAACTAAAAAAAGGAAAAACAAGAACTGTTCACCCTTACCCCTTCGCTCGCTAGGTCTACCTCGAATTGGAAATAGTAGATCCACACAACACACATTTTATGAGTTACACATGAAGGCACTTTTCAGGTTCATTAGAAGACATACACGTAAATAAAGCGAATAACTCAACACAAAACAATGGTCAAATAACAAAAATGAAAAGTCAGGGGACTTTCCGCATTTACCAAAATTTAGCTTTCTCATGGACACAAGACGTTCCGCACTAGCTCAGTGTAGAAAAAAAAATGCGAATTCGAAAAAAAAAGGAAAAATTAAAAGAGAAAAAAGAAAGGAAGAAAGTGAGAAAGAGAGAGTAGGAAGTTAAGGCATCTAACCACAGCATTCAACCCACTAGACCCTTCACAACGCTGAGTGTCCCCACTACCATAATCAGGATGCCAAGGCAAAAATAAAAGTACGCGCGGGCCCTGATTAAAGTGCAGCGTTTGCCAAATAGGCTACGACGCCAGTACTCCCTGGACATTCTGGGCTCATCAGGATCCTCCACACTGGATTCCACAAAGAGTGAGAGTAGCGCCGGCAACAGCATTAACATGACTGCCGCCGGGAGAGCCCCAATCAGGGAAACCACGATACCCACAGCACCAGTGCCCACGGCCATCGCAACGCCGTAAATAGCGGCATTTATCACAATCCGCATCAAGATTCCTTTCAAGGATCGGGGACGCCACCCAAGAAGAGAATCAATTTGCAAAATTGCGGGCATAAAGAGGATGGGATATGTACACCAGATGTTGATTGTAAATGCCACACGCACAACAATGGAAAACGCATTCACGTCAAGTGCATCCACCAGCGACACCTCAAGCGCCTCGCCATACGCCAGGTACCCAGCCAATCCGTACATCAAATACCAGCCTACAACCAAGTACAGGACGACAGTGAGCACCAAGCGAAAGCGAGGTTTATCTTTACAAGAATTTTCGACGGGCAAGACAACACCAATTCCCTCTAGCACCATCATGTTGTTTGCCATATTGTTAAACCAACCAAGCGGTATAGAACGGCCCCAAGGTATTGTGCTTGGCGACACGCCCGATTCATGAAGTTTGATAAACGCCAGAACTGCCGTCGAGATCAGCGCAAAAAACACACAGAATGTTGCAATTATAGATATAATCGCAAGGAACGCCAAGTTCTCGCTGAAAAATGACACGGGCAGGATAAGAGCAAACATAACAGTCATCCAAACATACTCATCTCCTGAAAAGCGTGGCACAAGCTTTGCCATGGAACCTCCAAAAAGCTGTAGGTAGAGCAAGCAGAAGCCGAATTGGGTCAAAAGCAAGGCCACAAGAAGAACGTATCGAAATGGCTTTCCGAGAACAAAGTCACAAAGGCGCAAATAGTCCGAAACGGATCTTCGATTTACCTTTGTTTTGGCGCGGACCAGCAGTCGGGAACAATCCACCACGATGGACCCGATGATCAACCCAATAATTGGGGAGAGAATATATCCAGAATCCTTGTAGAAGGTGGGCAGGAGAAATACGGCAGATGCCACATTTCCCTTAAATACATTAAATGCGCACTTGAAAATATTGGAATTTTCAAGCACTCCAAAACGATCTCCTTCGCTGGAAACATCATTGTCCTCGGCAGCTTCATCCACATCGGAGCAAGGCAAATACTTATCTGGCCGTGTTTCGCCACGTCCATCAGCATCGGGAAAATGAGGTTCGCCACTTCGCTCGTTGTGGGTCTTCTCGGCAGTATCCTCACCGAAGTCATTGGGTTCAGGTAGTTGCGACATCGCAGTTGTCTTCACTTTTACTGTGATCTGAGCTTTGACCACAGAGAAAACACATAACAACAAAATAAATAGGAATAAAAATCGGCAAGCACAAACGCCGTTGTTGCAGCTGGCAAGACACACCGCGTGAAGTATCGACTATATACATACATACATACACACACACGCACAGGAACATTCCGGGCCTCCCGCATCCCACAACAAGACAAGAGTGCTCCGCGCATAGTTCGTCAGCTTCGG